CAGTCCAAAGACATGCTGGTGGGTTAACTGGCTCCTGGGAAGACTGTCTGTGGTGTGAGTGTGAGTGTGTTCCCTCCTGGATGTGTCCTGCCTTGCGCCCATTGCTTGCTGGGCCAGGCTCCAGCTCGTCCAGGGCTGTCCTAGATGAAGGGGTTAGAAGATGGGGGGCTGGACTGTTAAATTCAGCCGTCAGACAGACGCTGGTCAGCGTCACACTATAACTACACCACAGTATCATGTGGAGAATCTGGATTCGATCGTCCTTCCTACTTCGCTGTGTAAAACGTGTGTTTCAAATGGGCTACAAGTGTCTCATATCCGTGCAGCTCATTCCCGCTCCGGGCACAGGGGTCTGATTCCGGACGGCTCCCGATCCCGGCGAACGCACCTCTCCGCCGTATCGGACGACACACAGCCCCCCCGACACCAGACACAGCTGCCGCTGGTGGAGTTGCAGGCATCGGGGCTGCGCAGCACGGAGCAAGGGTCAGAGGGCAGGGTCAGGGTCACCATGCGACCTAGGGTCACCCCATTGAACCCCCCTGTCAGGTACAGCCGGTCGCCCGACCTCACCATCGCCAGAGAGACCGAGGCGTTCACAGGATCCCCAACATCTGGGTCTGAAAAAGAGGGGGGTTAAGATTTGAGTCTTCTAAAGGTACCTCAGTGTCCCTCAGAGTGTCTCCCTTAGAGTGTCTGTCTTCATGCCTCAGGATGTCTTAGGGTGTCTTAGTGTGTCTGTCTCCCTGTCTCTTAGGCCACCAGGGTGTGTCAGTGGTGTCTCACCCAGCTCAGAGGGCAGGATCCAGGTGTTGCAGGTGATCTGGTAGAGAGAGACGCTGCTGCTGTACTCCTCCTCCTTCGTCCTGCCTCCCACAACTACCATGGTGTCTTTCAGGACCACAGCTGCGTGGAAGAAACTGGAGAGAGGCTGGAGAGAGAGAGAGGAAATCCCTAGGACCATGTCCTTACTGAACATCCTGCAGTATTTTACACATGAAGCACAGGGACTATTACAGGACTGTGTCTTTACTGAACACTGATTGTAATATTTTACACATGAAGCACAATGACTATTACAGGACTGTGTCTTTACTGAACACTGACTGTAATATTTTACACATGAAGCACATTGACTATTACAAGACTGTGTCTTTACTGAAGCGTAATATATAATTAATAATATATCTTTCATACATAAAACGGCGACTATTACAGGACTTTACTGGGTGACTGACTTTATGCTGAGTACACAGAGCACAATGCCTGTTAAGAGACAGTATCTGTGAGAACAGTGTGTCTGGGGACCCTCATACCTTGTTACCCCGTGATGGGGCTAGGAGGCTCCAGGTGAGGTTGGGGTAGTACAGGCTGTAAAGCTCCCCTGATGGCTCCACTGTCTCCACGTGGAAACGGTATCCGCCAAAGACGTAGACAGCATCCGTCTGCTCATGATAGACGGCCGAGTGGCCGTACAGCCCTGGACAAGAGAGGGAGGGGTTACCAGCTCGGCAGCAGCAGTGCACACAGCTCAGGCAGAAGCGACGCTCTGCAGGCTGGGCTGTGGCTGCAACCGTGTGTAGCGCACCACTCCTCACCAGTAGGGGGCGTGCCGGCATGGGGCACCACAGTCCAATTGCCGGTTTCCAGGTTGAATTCCAGCAGCAGGTGGTTGAAGCCGTTCTCGGGGGAGTATCCTCCAATCAGGAGCAGCGAGGAGCCGCGGCGCAGTGTGAGGGTGTGGCCAGCCACCGGGGGCAGCAGAGAGCTCTGGGAGAGAGACAGTGTGTCAGTGAATAAGTGTCACCGACACGTTCAACCTGGTTTATTACACTGCTATAGACACAGTTCATACAACACCCTTATAGCTATGAATAATGCAGCTTCTAACAAGTAGAATCAAGTAGCTTCACAATCAATAACTTTGTGTCTGCCCCTCTCTCAGTCCCTATCGACACATGCACTATCTCTCTCACCATGTGCTCTCTGCCTGTCTCTCTCACCATG